GCAATTACATCAGAAATTTTCTTTAGTGATCACTCTTACGAATAATTGTTACTAATAAAACGTTTTATTCGATTGAATTTATTGATTATTACACATTGAATTTATTGATTTACTGTATCGAATCCATATTACTTATCTGTTTTATCACTTGTGAGGCACTTTTCTCAATTCGGTCCTGGATTTAACATGACGGATGCTCACGTGATCCGGAAAAGGAGATCAAAGGTGCCGACACGAAGTGGACCTACTGGTTATACTGTGGTTTGGCCTTGTGTGGCGTCGTCAAGATCAGGACAAGATTACTTTGAATTTTTTAAATAAGATTCCCTATTTTTTATTTCAAATTCTTGTAGCCCTTTTTCAGACAATTTCAATGAACTATAATTTTATCCCCTTTAAATAAGCCGTTTCGATATTATTGAGTTTTTATGACAAGATTTTATGATAGATTTTATGATAAGTCTGTCCACGAAGGCAAGTTCGGAAGATGATCCAGCAAACCAAGGCAAGATTGAAAGATGATTCAGCCAACCAAGGTAAGATCTAAAGAGTATCCAGTCAACCAAGGCAAGATCTAAAGAGTATCCAGCTAACTGACAATGAGGCAATTTAACAATTGTAGTGCTTATTACGTTAAACTAATTAAAACCTGGATTTAAAAAACACAAGAGCAACTTAAAATTGGATCAATCAAAGCATTCAGTTATTGCTGAATATATGCTAATTTTTAATCACACTTTCAACTGAATGGAAGTAGTAAGTTTGGAATGGAGTAAAAATCTTAGATATGGAACGCAATTTTCGTAAAAAATTGATCTCTGAAAATGATCCACATTTGTTGAGGCACTGACATGCTCCGATACGGTCGCAGCCCCCGTCACGCGACGGATGCTGTCGGAGCTTTCGTGCTCCGCCAAACGACACCTAACGGAGCGAGTCGAGGATATTCGACATAAATGATACAGAATGCGGCGCAAGGATCCTTCGCGCATCGACTCCATCAATAAATCGATGGCACGAGTCACGCATTAGACCAATTAATTAGTTCTAATCGCACGCCGGCGCAGTTGATCATGTTCGCGAAGAAGAACCCGCAAACGGTTGCGCGACGAAAAACGAGATCAGAAGCACAAAAGGATTCATGGTTTCCGCATGTTCCTCAATTCGCTTTGTCACTTAACGAAGCCTCGCGTCGCGACAGAAACCATTAGCGACGATCTCGTCGCTCGCGACCACGAGATCTCAATGATTAGCACTGAGTTCACTAGACTCACTTTAGTGAAACGAAAAGCGCGTATTATTTAACGACTAATTCGACTGCGCTGAAGATCGAACCAAGTCAAATTGTACTTGGTCATGTGGCGAGTACTAGAAACAGCGATCGATATCGCTGTAGTGTGCTGAAGAGCTCATCCGCTGCTTGCGCCGCCATTGCCTGTGATCGACTAATTAAGCACAGACGAATAAAGTGAATTTCGAATCAAAATCTCAGTGCATTAAATTGTGATCCTGTCCTCCGACTCTCATCGCTTCTGTCGGAGCGAATACCAGCAACTATTTACTTCTCATGCACGCATTCGGAACCGTCACGTTCGAATGCGTTCCAACAATATCAAAGAGAGCAAAAAGTGGAATTAATTTTATTAAAGATATAGAAATGCTTAATAGCGCCTATTTTAGTATTCTTGACGAACGTTTTAATAATAATTTTCGACGTACACATATCATATATAAACAAAAAAGTTGTCACTTAATTACAATGGTATCACTCTATTTTTATTTTTTGATTTAGTTATATGAATAAAGAATTCGTATTTAACCATCAAGATTCGATCTAATACGAGACGATATCAAGCATCTTTATTTCTCAGCTTGCCGTATTTTTACATTCACTTTTATAAAGCCCAATTAAGTTTTCTGTTTTTCTTTTTTGTTATTATAAGAATATTGATCATATTGACAATAATTATATTCAAAGAATATGATTTTCGTTTGATTTTATAGCTATATTGTTTTTTAATGATGAACATACGATTTCAGGACGACATTGTTAAATCGATGGAAAAAAATTTGATTTTTGATTGAACACTTTTTCGCAACGGAACGAGGAATAAGTATAAAAAATTTTATTGACTACTGACAAATAATATTCTTAATTTTTAATTCTCTTTTTCTAATTTCAGCTATCATAAACTACGCGTCAATTATTGTCGCTTTTTAAGAATATAATTATAACTTAAACTGAAAATATATTATGTATCTATTACTCTTCATTCGATGATGAAGCTACAAACATCTTAAAATACTAACGTAAAAACTTGAGTAATTATTGCACTTTAGAAGATCCAGATTCGATGACTTAACTTTGACATATAATGTCAAGAATATATTAAGGTCAAAGTCATCGAAGCTGGGTTTTCTATAGTGCACAATTATCGAAAATTATTATAAAAAACATTATCTCAGCCAGGATTCAAATTTGGAATTTCCCGATCCTATTCAGGGCGGGTGTCTTACCTATTTGATCACTAAGGCTATGATATTATTTATTGTAATAATTTATTAGAAGGAACGTATTGAAAGGCTATGGTGTAAATAACAATTAGTTTACGCAATTTAAAAAAAAATTTCAAATTAAGAATATTATTAAATAACCGACGTCTAGCCTTGGCCGTAGTTGGCTCTTTCTCTCTTATTATTTGTTATACCGGTGTTCCAAAATCCGCGCATAAGAAGTACAGAACGTGATATTTTGTGTTAAAAGGAACAACTTTTTCCTTTAGCAAATTTGATCTGACAAATAATTTTTGTAGGAGAGCTTAATCAGCTTAACTAGCTCTCCTGCAAAAATTATTTGTCAGATCAAATTTGCTAAAGGAAGAAGTTACTCCTTTTAGCACAAAGTATCACGTTCTGTACTCCTTATGAGCGAATTTTGGGACACCCTATATACATATGTATGTCGTGAAATTATTGTTAATTTCATTGATTTCGTATGAATTTCGCGAGCTAAAGATTCTGTGAAGTTTTTTGGTCGGTTCTTGACTTTTTCTTTTGATAAATTATTGAAATGTACGTAAAGCGTATTGAAATGCTTTATGCACATTTTGTGGAACGTTTAAAAAACTTAAAATAAAAATAAAATATTGAAAAATTTAAAAAACGTAACAAAAATATTCCATACATGCTTTACGAAGCATTTTAGAAGCATATATGGATATTTAAAATTGCAAAGGATCAATGAAAAGTCAAAATTTATCAATGAGGTTTTTAAGAAGCATTAAATTTCTTCATTTATCTTTTTTTGACGCTTCGAGAAGTTTTCAATTTTCACCAGGGCGATACATTAGAGTTTCTCTAAAATTAAATGAAAAACAAACTTGCGATTTTTCAAGTGTATAGTTTTAAAAGGAGGACATATTTTTATAAAAAGAATATATGTATTTAGGTAAAGATCTCAGATATTGAGATAGTCACCTTTAGTTTTTTAAATAAAATCATAATTTTTAATGTCTATGTTTGTAAACTTTGTCATAAGGAATTTAGCAACTTATTATTTAAGATTTAAAACCAAACAATGCAAAACGAGTTTGAGTAATATTCCAATCTTGATACATTTACAAAGATTTATTTATGTATTTTATATTTTACTTTAATTTTGGTTGATTGAATATGTTTAAATTATTATTTTTAGACACAAAATAAAGTGTAATTTGATTGTTTGAGAGAGATACATAAAATAACTATTATCTGTTTGACAAACCTGATTATGCATAGATGATGGGAAACGTGTTCCGATAATCTGCTTGTTTTATTCAATGTATTATTCAGTATCCATGTTCTTTCCTTTTCATCAAGTTTTTCTTTTGCCATTTTTTGAAGGCGATGCTTCAGAATTTCGAATTGTGCACATGTTTGTAAGCAAAATCCTAAAATCGTTGTTTCCGTCGCAATATTTACAACAACGGCAATAAGCACTGCTGCAATCTCTTGAAAAGACGTAAGATAGAATAAAAGAAACGAAGTGCAATCCCAAGGTACCCATACTGTCCCATAAGGTATCTGACCATCTAATATAAAAAGCATTCCTCCCGTTACAGCACTTATCGCCGAGAACGTAGACAAGATTGTATAACGTATGGAATATGATCTACATTTCAAAAATATAATAAGTATATAATAATCAGTATAAAAAAGACAAGAGCTATTTTAAAATAACGTAATAATTTGACACTTTTCAGTAAGTGTGTGGCAAAAAATATCATTGGTTATTATCCGATCGCTATTGCACACAACACTTTAAGTAGCTAGCTAATACTATAATAACGAAATACACAGAAATTTATAGAATAATGATTTAATTAATTTTCTTAAAAACTTGTGACAAAATTAATTTAATTTATTTATTATTGTTTTAATTTTATTAAATAGTTATTATTATCGACTCACTTATCGATTTATTTAATAAATATGACTGATATTGTTGAAAGTTCCATCAGCATTTGTATATACTAACTTGATTGAACAGTCAAATTTCATCTGAATATCAATCTCCTCCTTGTCACTGGTTTTGCAAGGTCTTTCTTGCAATATTTTTATCAAATTGATAATTCGATCACGACGAATTATGAAAATAATCGCTTTGAACACTGTACTCATTAATGTGAGAAGAAAAGAAATATGTGTGGCTAAGTCTTCCATATTATCGATAACAAAACTATATAGAAAGTTAGTCAACATCAAAAACATCAACAGATATACCATGAAGAAAGTAAACACATTATATAGATACTTGAAGTATTTCGAAGACCATTCGATTGGTTGCCACAAACCAATTATGGTAAATAATAAGAAATTGAAAGAAAGTATCTGCATTTCTATAATTGCTACAATCAAAAGTAATAAATTTTCTTATTCCTTAAAATACTTTCTATTGTAAATAATCTTGCTTCAAATATTATTATTATACATAGAATTGTACATAACATAATAATATATCTTTTAAAAGAAAATTGTCTCTTAAAAGATATATATTGTTATAAGAGAAAATTGTTAATAAGAGAAATTGTCTCTCTTTTAAAAATAATCTGTTACATTTATATGTATAAAAGATTAATTTGTAAAAATATGTTGATATATTTACTTTTTGCATATATACATCTTTGGCAGTGTACTTACTTTGTATGAACCTTATAATTAACGTTTATAATAAAATTGAATCAAGTTATTACGATTTGTATGCGTATCGGCAAAAGCAACTATTATATCAATAGCGATATATACGCACGATAAAGGTTTGTAAGGTAAAATAACGTTTGTAGCAGCTTTGTCCCTACACAAATTAAAATTAATAATTCATTACTAATTTGACGTTGCGGCATCGATACTTTACTGCCGGTATTAGAACTGTAATTATAACAATTATGTAATTTGATATAATTGAGGAATGTTATATCTCTCGATAAATTTCACCATATTGTCATGTTCCCAAGAAGTGAAATATACTTTCGTGCAGATGTCTATATTGATATATTCTCAGGAAATGAAATAAACTTTCGTGCAGACGTTTATTGTAAAATTTTTGCAAATAGTAACAAGCAAATTAAAAAATTAATAACAATATTAACAAGTATTCAAATGAATCAACATCTTTTACATTTTGTCCTTAGTATATTTGTATTTTTGTAAGGCTGACTTGCATACTGCGACATAATATTTTCTTAGAAAAGTCTTGTTTTGTTGTCGTTCTAAAAAATTCTAAATTTCGAATATAATACATGTGTTATGTGTGTATGTATAAATTATTACGTATTAATTAATTTAACATATATAAATAATTATTCTAATATATTAAGACCTATTTATTATTTTATACATATTTAAAATATAGAGTAAAGTAGCGTAATTTGGTCATAGTGTAATTTGGTCAACAACATTTTTTGAGCGCTGCAGTCGCACTAGAAAGTTGTCGTTTATGTCATTAAATTGTCACTGTATTAGCTCACTTTTGATGAGACCTAAAGCTGAATAGACGTGTTAATTTTTGCTCGGCAGAACAAAGTGAAAAATTGTGAAAAATAAAATTGACATCATACATTTTATTCTGTGAAGTAATGATTTTTCCGTGATTTGAAGCAGGTAATGTGTGTTATGATATGGTTTTTTTATTCTCTTTTGTGATTAATTGCGTTTCGGTGTACAGTGCGTGGAAAAATTTGTACGCCATTTTTTTTCAACAAGCTTGGTTAGCGTAATTTGGTCAACTGCATGTAGCATAATTTAGTTAATGGATTTTTTCACAGATGAAGCACTAAACGTCACATATAAATACATATAGACTTATTTTTAGTATTTCTTTTTAGATTTTTAAATAATTTTTTTATTTTTTTTAATATTAGAATGGGATTTCATAAGCGAAAAACTGATCGTCCAGCAAAAGATCTCACTGCATTGATTAATGCCATTAAAAAAAAAAGTGGGAAAAAATCGATATGAAGCGTTACTTTATCATACGATATTTATAGAACAAGTTTGAATCGGTATGTTTTGCAGCTTGATAAGCAGATTGACAATTTTTCAACAATCAGCGACGACGATCTTTTAATAAAAATTCAATCATTTTGTACGAGCAGTGCACCAACGGTACATTCTCGATCAATGATTTCAATAAATTTCTTTTTTATTCTCATTTTTATTGTTTTTATTGTTTATATAGATTTTCACAAAAGATCAAGAGATATAACTTGTTGAATATTTGAAAAAGTGTGGAGATCTATTATGGTCTCAATATATGGAAGATTAATTTCAATGTTTGTGTGCTTTTTTCAATGAAATTTGAAAATATGCTGTTTTGGCTTTATGATTTATTTTTTAAGAATTCTTAGGATTTATATGGTTGACCAAATTACGCTGTAAAAAAATCTCGATTTTTTTGTGTCTCGAGAAAATAATCATATTTTTCTTACGATGAAATAGAAGGTAGGTATATTCGAGAAAAAGTTGCGCTAGACCCTCCCTCAACATACACACACAACACATAGATATAGGCGCACAATAATATCTCATAAAGGACAATAACAAAAGATTACAAGAATCCAAGTATCATAATAATTTTATAAAGAAAAAAATTACCAGTTGCGTTTTCAGTAGCGTGCATCGTTACACGTCTCTATAATCTACATTATGACATTCACAATCGATTCTCTTGTCGTATAATTATATGTCTACATAATACTAATTATCTCTGGCACACGGTTGAAGACAATAATTTACCTGTGTCAATATCACCCTTTCCTTACTCGTTGAAAATTTTGTTGACTTTGTTTCATAATATGTAAGCGCGTTCAATATCTCGTACAATATCTCGATTTTCCCAATATTCTAGCACAATTTATTCAAGCAATTTTATTGTTAAACATTAAATTTATTTTTTGATAATAATTCTATTACGTGAAGATTTTTTTATAACAAATAATAGTAGAAGAGGTATTTGATCACCTAAAATTGATGTGAAATCACTTATTATAAAAAGAGAGAATGAACGAATAAATGATTTTTATTAGCTTTCTTAGCTATTTTGTTGTATGTACATCAAGTTTACAATCTAGGCAAAGTGGCTACTTAATGTATTCCTTTAACATACATACGCTTAAATACTACAAGTCTATCACACTGGTTTAATTCTACCGGAATGGCATTATATATTTTCACACCTTCATAACACATTTTTTGTGCACTTTTTATTTTTCTAAAATCTATTTTAACTTTTTTCAATTGTCTCGTTCGCCTCTCGCTTTCATCTCTTACTACAACTAATTTATTTTCTAAATACTCTGGCATTATACCATTTAATATTTTAAAAATAGAGATACACACATTGTAATACAATCTATGCCTGACTGACATAAACTACAGCGCTTGCAGCATTTTTCCGACATTCGTATATCTATCACATTGCAATATAACTCTCATGGCTCTCATGGTTTTATGCTACTTGCAGTTTCGTCGAGAGAGAGAGAGAGAGAGAG